ATCTACCTACCACAAGAAACCCCACTGTACATCTACCTACCACAAGAACATCTACCTACCACAAGACACCCCACTGTACATCTACCTACCACAAGAACATCTACCTACCACAAGACACCCCACTGTAATTGGCTGGTTTAAATGTAACATTTACCTACCACAAGAAACCCCACTGTACATCTACCTACCACAAGAAACTCCACTGTACATCCACCTACCACAAGACACCCCACTGTACATCTACCTACCACAAGAAACCCCACTGTACATCTACCTACCACAAGAAACCCCACTGTACATCTACCTACCACAAGACACCCCACTGTACATCTACCTACCACAAGAAACTCCACTGTACATCTACCTACCACAAGACACCCCACTGTAATTGGCTGGTTTAAATGTAACATTTACCTACCACAAGAAACCCCACTGTACATCTACCTACCACAAGAAACCCCACTGTACATCTACCTACCACAAGAAACCCCACTGTACATCTACCTACCACAAGAAACCCCACTGTACATCTACCTACCACAAGAAACTCCACTGTACATCTACCTACCACAAGAAACCCCACTGTACATCTACCTACCACAAGAAACCCCACTGTACATCTACCTACCACAAGAACATCTACCTACCACAAGACACCCCACTGTACATCTACCTACCACAAGAACATCTACCTACCACAAGACACCCCACTGTAATTGGCTGGTTTAAATGTAACATTTACCTACCACAAGAAACCCCACTGTACATCTACCTACCACAAGAAACTCCACTGTACATCCACCTACCACAAGACACCCCACTGTACATCTACCTACCACAAGAAACCCCACTGTACATCTACCTACCACAAGAAACCCCACTGTACATCTACCTACCACAAGACACCCCACTGTACATCTACCTACCACAAGAAACTCCACTGTACATCTACCTACCACAAGACACCCCACTGTAATTGGCTGGTTTAAATGTAACATTTACCTACCACAAGAAACCCCACTGTACATCTACCTACCACAAGAAACCCCACTGTACATCTACCTACCACAAGACACCCCACTGTACATCTACCTACCACAAGAACATCTACCTACCACAAGAAACCCCACTGTACATCTACCTACCACAAGAAACCCCACTGTACATCTACCTACCACAAGACACCCCACTGTAATTGGCTGGTTTAAATGTAACATTTACCTACCACAAGAAACCCCACTGTACATCTACCTACCACAAGACACCCCACTGTACATCTACGTACCACAAGAAATCCCACTGTATTTAACTGGGTGGTTTAACATCTACCTACCACAAGAAACCCCGCTGTACATCTACCTACCACAAGAAACCCCACTGTTTTGTTACTTGGTGGTTGAAAGAACTGAGCCTTCAAGTACGGTAACTCTTGCAGAGATTTCACACGCTGCAGGAACGAATCTTCTTTAGCCATTGATAGGTACCAGCCTGGGGTAAATGACAGGATTGTAGTTTAGTATGGGATAAAAGCATGTTGGAGTGTATTGCAGGGTAGGTGAAGGAGAATGGAAGAAATTGAGTGCTCAGCGGCGGTAGTAGGAACCAATTTGGTTGTTTCCCTTGAATAAATAAAAAAATGCATTTGTAAATAGATTAATTATTCAACCACACATCACTAAGTTAAGTATTTAATACTTTTACAAAAATTTAAAACAACCCACGTTTTTCTTTAAAGTTATTTATATGCTGGTGCATTATTATTCCGCGTTGCTGGGGTCTCAGAATTAAGAAATTTAAAGAAATAAGTCATGGTAACATTCAATTTGCGTTTTTATTTAAACGTATAAATCCTATTAAAATGAAAATATGATGAAATTCCATGTACATTTGAATTGAAACACATGTATCATCACTAATGGTGTATTTTGAGACGCGGATCTTAATTTCTGATTGGATCATGTAAAAAAAAAAAAGATTGCGTCATACTAAAACTGACGAAACTCGACTGGATTGATTCTTTAACATGTTAAAAATTATTATTAGACGTTTTATTAACGCCATATGACTGATGCAATTTCTTAGCTAATGGGTATTTTTTAGATGCGTGATGTATCGTCATTGGATCTTGAACCAGGTGTCAAGTTTTTAAGAAATTGGTCAGTTAGAAATGATCTAAATTTTGCTCACCAGTTTCGATTCATGACGATAGAGATTCAGAGGAAGCAAGTTAAATAAAAGCTTGTAATAATATAAACAAACTAATCATTGAAATAGTATCTTCAAGAGACTGAACTAAAAACAAATCTCTATGTCTAACGTATGGACGAGATACACGAAGGTAACACAACTGACCATCAAAACAGTGTATCGGGTAGTTACACAGGAGACCACCATCAACATACGTGTCCGTTCGACCGTGGTTGTCATAGAAACGGGCAGTAAATAAACCTTTAAGGTTGCATGAAACAAAAAAACAAAAATCAAATAAAGCAATTAAATTTTTACAAAGAAAAAATATCCAAAACTTAATTTGCGATTGCAATTAATTTTCGTTCCTTTAAATTAGGGTATTTAGTGAGTTTATTAATCTGATCAGGATATAATTCTACTTTTAATCTGTACTTTTACCATTCATTTACGATTCTCGTGACATTTTATGAAAAAAAACTTGCTTTAAGTAAAAATGTTAAAATAATTTTATAAGCTTGTATGTTTTGTTTGTTTGTTTGTTTGTTTGTGATTAACGTTTTAACTCGGCTTTCACTTAATGCTAATACAGCAAATATGTATAATCTTTAATAAAAAACGCTAAATATTTTAGCGTCGAATTCTTTCATATCAAATTTCTGTTAATTTTTTATATTTTATTTTTAAAACTTTTTTAAACCTTTTTATTACAAGGTTGTTTTTTTTTTAAATTTAATTTATTTGAGCATGTTGCGTTTTTCCGAGGAGGGTCTCGATTTACCAATTTATTTTATATTTACTCTATTTAGTTTTAGCTCTTGATTGATGAAACGCGTTTGTTTATATATATATATATATATATATATATATATATATATATATATATATATATATATATATATATATATATATATATATATATATCCTTGTTATTTCTCTTTTTTTCTCTTATAAAAACCTTAACCGACCTGGCAAGGCCATTGACATGCGCACTGCTTCCCTTATCGGCATATCCGGTGTAGTTTTGGGGTGGCAGTACTCACTCCTCATCTGGTTCAGGTTGGTGACTACAATACACAGCTCCACTCTACGTTCTCTGTACAACTGTAGACATGGGTTGGGTTAACATGGGTTGGGTTAGGGTCAAGGTTGATTAGACTAAGTGACCACAATACACAGCTCCACTCTACGTTCTCTGTACAACTGTAGACATGGGTTGGGTTAAGATGGGTTGGGTTAGGGTCAAGGTTGATTAGACTAAGTGACCACAATACACAGCTCCACTCTACGTTCTCTGTACAAATGTAGACATGGGTAGGGTAGGGTTAAGATGGGTTGGGTTAGGGTTACGATGGGTTGGGTTAGGGTTAAGAGGGGTTGGATTGGTACGAACAAAACAAAGCAACAGCCTACATACCTTGCACAACTGTAGAGATGGTTAAGGGGGTTATAGGGGGTTAGAGGGGGTTAGTGGGGGTTAGAGTGGTTAGAGGGGGTAAGTGGGGTTAGATGCGGTTAGAGGGGGTTAGATGGGGTAAGAGGGGGGTTAGAGGGGGTTAGAGGGGATTAAAGGGGGTTAGTGGGGGCTAGAGGGTGTTAAGCAGAGCTAAACTAAACGTAAAACAACTAACAGCAAAGAAGGTTTCTCTAAACAACGAAAACTTTTCTTACATCATAGAAGGTCATGTCGGGGTTCGCTGTCGAAGACTTTTCTTTGATCATTTCACCGCACCAATCAGAAAATCTGTCGCCAGGATTCCAGCCAAACTTGCTCAGGAGGTTGGGCAGAAGGCTGAAGTACCCGCAGGAGTGGTCTAAGGGTGGACACGACACCAGAACATGTCACGTTAGTGGTAGTTTGACCAGCAAAATACACATTTGTTTAGAAATTTAACTTTGGCTAAATAAGTTCCTTCTGCAATCTACAACTTCTCGTCAATGGTCTAGCTAGGCGCAATGACGTCAGACACAGGACCTTAAAGTCCTACAAGACGTCAGGAACTCACCTAAAAATATCTCCTCAAGATCATCCGACATGAAAACTTCTATATCGCAGGAACTGTAACCCAGGGCTACCAGTGTTGCGGTTATTGCCCCTGCACTACTTCCACCAAACCTTCGAATTCCTGGCATCATTCCTATTTCCTCAAAGTACTGAAACACACGTACAAAGTTCAAGAACTTTCGTAAGTAATCAATTATCAATCAAATAAATGCATGTCAATCCTAAACAAGTAGCTGTTTTTAATTTAACTCTGCACTCCACAGTTTCACAACATCATATCAGCAACTCTCTAATGGGTTCTACGAGTAATGCTCTAATGATACTTGCACGAATGGACGTTTGCATTTATTGAACAAATGCCCGAATGGACATTTGTACTGTTTGGGGAAAATGCCCGAACGAACGTTTTCACAAATAGAAAACATGCCCAAACAGAAGTTTGTAAGGTTTGAACAAAAACCAGAAAGAACGTTTTCATAAGTGGGATAAATGACCACATAGACTTTTGCCAGAGGGACAACTATCCTCACCTTTATACCACCTACATAGGCGAGTCCCTTGTTGCCACCTCCCTCAAAGATCAAATTCTCGAACGGAAACAGGAAGTCTTCGGGAAGAATTTCCGCGTATTTCGGTGGGGACTCTATAACAAAATACACGATAGTGTATGTGATATTACACTTGACAATAAACATTTTCAATTTTTTTTTTTAATATTTTAAAATTTTCTAATTTTACTAAAAACTTAATCTAAATACTTAATCAAAAACTTAATCTAAAACGTTGATGTTTTAGCGCTACAGTTAACCTGTGACTTCAATGAATTCGGTGTCAGTGACGTCATCTTGAGACTGCTCCCAGACCAGGTCCTCTCTCTCCTTCAGCATCGCCAGATACCTGGAGATAATAGGCTTGTTCGTTAGCCGTACCGTGTGACCTTATGTCGTCAGCCGTACCGTGTGACCTTATGACGTCCAGTCTTGTATTGATCATTCCGTTTGTTGGTCCTAGGACCTTTGACCACAGGTGCTTTGACCATAGGGGGTTAGACCATAGGGGGTTTGACCACAGCGGAGCTTTGATCATAGGTGCTTTGACCATAGGGGGTTTGACCACAGCGGAGCTTTGACCATAGGTGCTTTGACAATAGGGGGTTTGACCATAGGGGGTTTGACCATAGGGGCTTTGACCATAGGGGGTTTGACCATAGGGGGTTTGACCACAGCGGAGCTTTGATCATAGGGGCTTTGACCATAGGGGGTTTGACCACAGCGGGGCTTTGACCATAGCGGTGCTTTGACCATAGGGGGTTTGATCATAGGGGGTTTGACCATAGGCGGTTTGACCACAGGTGTTTTCTCAGCAGAGGGTCTTTGATCACAGGTGGTCTATCAACTGGTGTTTGATCACAAGCGCTGTGTCCGAGGTCGTCGCATCCGTGGTCGTGGCGAAAAGTACAAGCTTGCTTTGTTTCCAGTTGAAACTTGGAATCAAATGCACACGATTGGCGATGGTGTAGCACGAACAAATAACATTTGTGAAGGATGGCATTACAGTCTTCAGTCTCTCCTCCAATGTAGTCACCCAACAATGTGACGTTTCCTACAGATAGACTGCACACGGCAAAAGACAATTTTACTTGTCGCATTATTTGTATTTCATTTATATTTAAAATAAATCTATGAGGCCTAGCACCAGCCTTTATGTGGAGACTAAAATATAGTTCTTGGCTTTTTTAAAATACATGTTAATTTCTATTAACGTACTTTCAGGAAACATGTATACAATCGTGTTAATTGTATCACACTTATGATCAAAGCCGGACACAGCGCTTGCGATCAAACACCAGTTGAAAGACCACCGGTGATCAAAGACCCTATGCTGAGAAAACACATGTGGTCAAACCCCCTATGGTCAAACCCCCTATGATCAACCCCCTATGGTCAAAGCACCGCTATGGTCAAAGGCCCGCTGTGGTCAAACCCCCTATGATCAAAGCCCCTATGGTCAAAGCTCCGCTGTGGTCAAACCCCCTATGGTCAAACCCCCTATGGTCAAAGCACCTGTGGTCAAAGGTCCGCGCACCCGTTTGTTGATTTTATCAAGAGGGTCGTACTAGTGGCAGATAAACTACACGTTTAGAGATGTTTTTATTTTGTTTCACAACTACGACATGATTGGTTAGATCAGGTTTCAATTAGCTCAATGTGGCTTTGGTGAACTCATTAAAATATAATTAACGAGCCGACCCGCGGCATATCATACGCCGCTATTTAGTTGTTTTTTACTTTCTCGTATATACGTAGTATAGAGAAAGTATTGTAATCGTGCAAAAAAAAAAATCGAGATTTTTACAAATCTCGACGTTTTACACCTCACTGATACGGAAAAACATAATTTTGCAATCTTGTCCGTATGTCTGTGTGTGTGTCTGTGTGTCTGTGTGTCTGTGTGTCCGTGTGTAAACACGATAACTTGAGTACCGTTACAGCTAGGTTGATGAAATTTCATATATAAGTATTATATCAAAATCGTTGATCCGTATAAACTTTTGAGCGATTTCCGACAACCGGAAGTGGTACTTTTCTACTTTGAATTTTTCAAAAGCCTATAACTTGAGTACTATTTCAGATATATACATGAAATTTCACATGTAAGTAAAAGATCAAATTCTCTACCTTCTGTTTAATTTTGAGTAATTTCCGTTGACCGGAAGTAGTAATTTACGCTACTTCCGATTTCTCAAAAAACTGATGTAAATTTTAAAAGTACTAATAATATTGCGCACTATTATGCGCTTTTTTATTTCGCGTTCAATTGGTGTGCAATTAATTTGTCTACGAGATTTTATTCTATTTTTAAAACTTTAAGTATTTAAAATGGATTAAAAATCATGTCTATAGCCCGAGTTCCCATCCCCTGTTATTTTATATAAAAATATTCGAGAAAGTTTAGGGGAGATCATTCCCGGTTTATTTTTTTCTACTTTTCAGTAATTCATTATTTTGTGAATTCGACAGTACCAACGCTGCCACTGAAAATATTTCTTTAAAACACTATAAGCAGCTCGTTTAGGACGATACCCCCCTCCTCCCCCCCCCCCCCCTCCGTTAAAGTAAACTCCACTTAGTTACCCCCTCCCCCCTACGTTTAAAGTCGGTTCAAACTAAATTATCTGCCCCTAATAGTCGTCACTAAACCCGGCTCTGCTGGTAAACATTTAGCGTGAATCACAGCTCACCAGACCATGTAGGGGTGGGGGTGGTAGGGAGCGCGCTTACAGCTTGTTTTCTAGCGTCTCCCAGAAAAATAATTATATATATAGATTGGCTAATTTCAATCAGGGTTACCTCCTCTTCTCGTCCAGGTGTGTGTACTGTGTTTGTGTCAACGGTTCTTCATGTACACTTCTGTTGTTTCCCATTGTTTCTGCAGCTGTCTTCAACAGACAAAATAACGAGATCATCAAAGATTGACACAGACATTTGGTTAGATCTGGACCCTAAATACATACAATAATTTTTTGTCATTATTCGAAGGGTGCAGTATTTTATCCAGGTAATGTGATTGGATAGATTTTAAAACTGCATGACACTCAATTTAAGTAAGATTTGAGAACAGAGTTTCTTCCAGGCATCTCTTCGGGGGGGGGGGGGCAAAGAACATTTTTACCGCCCCCCCCCCCCCCCCCCCCCCCTCCCGAACGAAATGAAATTTATATAATTTATAAAGAAAATATATACTTTTAACAGGGTCCGCCCCCCCCCCCCCCCCCGAAGAAAGTTTACCGCCCCCCCCCCCCCCGGAAAGTTCAAGTGCCCCCCGGAGAAAAAAGTCTGGAAGAAACACTGTTTGAGAAACAGGACAGGGTGAGGACAACTCTACTGAAAACTAGCGTTTGAGTTGTCGTACATGATAATTTGGTCAAGACATAAAAGAAGATTGAGATCAGCACCACTATTTGGGATATTATAGGGTTGATGCTTGTTACAGTCTGTTAGAATTTTGAAGATTAAATTTTTTTAATTCTAGAAAAAAGTACAGTGATATTGTTCCATAAACAGGTTAACAAATAAATAAAACGTATTATTCAGTCAATCAAAACATTTATTTATTACTTACCGTAATAAATTTTAAACTTAAAGTAAAATTAAAGATCACTTTCACCAACGTATAGTAAATTTACCCTTCCACAATTGTGAATACTGTTTACAAATAATACAGTTATGTAAAAACAATCCAACTTATATACAGACTTGTCAAAATATCACTGGAAAATCGCAGCCTTTTTCTTATAACCTATAGACATCCTAATTACCATAATGAAATTTTTACAACGCAAATGATCTGTTTGCATTTAATCAAATACCAGATGTTGAAAATAGGTTGTTTGCATACATTAAAAATACTAGTCTACAGTAAGTTGTTGATCTTTTAACCTAGTTTAGTCGGTACTAATGGTACGCCCACTTTACAGCGGCGCGGGTTACTCTGGGGAGGGGGGGTGGCAGGGAGAGGGGTGGGAGAGCATTTTATTGCAGAAAACGTGATGATTCATCATGGGCAAAAAGGGGAATAAGTTCCTACCGTCGATAGCAGAAAGAAAATGACATACTGCGGGAAGTGTTCAGTAGTCAAACAAGTGGCGACGTCAATGGACCCGAACGCTAGCCTGTACACACGAACGCTAGCCTGTACACACGAACGCTAGCCTGTACACACGAAAGCTAGACTGTACACACGAACGCTAGCCTGTACACACGAACGCTAGACTGTACACACGAACGCTAGCCTGTACACACGAACGCTAGCCTGTACACACGAACGCTAGACTGTACACACGAACGCTAGCCTGTACACACGAACGCTAGCCTGTACACACGAACGCAAGCCTGTACACACTTACTTACTTGATCCTCGTCCCTCCCTGTGGAGTACAGGGCAGCAACAGCTCACAGCCAATGTGTTAGGATTCAATACCTGATTTAGAACGTTTTTCATTTTATAAAATTATATAAAGAAAATTAAAGTC